TAAAGGTTCGTGCGCTGGTTGTTTGCCTACTGCTCTCATCTTCACACTCATTCTCCCATAGTCTTCTCTTCTGCAACTCTCAGAGGCTAGAAGTTTGTTAAACACATTTTCCAGCCCCCTTGTAAGCTGAGAGGTTAGGTACTGCCATTGGAAACTAATGCCAAATTAAGAGGCAGAGAAAAGGAGAAGCCACTTTTTTTCCTGCTTCTGTTCTGCAACCATGAGTTACAACCATGAGTTACTCCAACTTTTAGCAGCACTGGTGGCTAATCTGGCAGTGTCAATGGGACAATGGGTTCTTCACTCACGCAGCAAGCTCTAGGTTTCCTGCCTGGCTAGGTAACAGTGGAAGTCCACTCAATGGTGCAGTGCTTAGGGCTCTGGGTAACACCACTTTGGCTTTTGTTCCTCCTGCCTCAGGGGCGATAGCTGCTTTCCATCTCTAACCCTTCCCATTCTTTTGCAGCCAATTCCCGGTACTAAAACCTTTCAGTTAGAAATATTTCTAAGTGGTTTCTGGTTGTCTTAATAGATGCTAACCAATACAATTAAGGGGACTCTCCAGAGAATCACATGATTTTGTTCCTTATACTTTAGACATAGCAAGACAAATTCTATTATTCCCCTGTTACAGAACAGTACACTGAAATGTGAAAGTGATGATTAAGTAAATGCACCAAAATTCTACAGCTAGTAACAGTGGGGCCTTCACTCAATTTAAGTTGTCTCTATCTATATCCTATGTTCTTTTTACAATGTTAAAGTTAAGAAACACTGATTGCTTGCAATTTTAGAAAGGAAAACACACACTACTGGAATCTGCACACGTCTCAGGAAAATAGGTGTATATCAAGAGCACTAGCATTAAAAGGACAACCTCAAAAAAAAAAATCTCTATCCCTTGAAGCAAATACTTCATATGTATCTTTTAAAGATCTACTCTAAGACAGAGATTTATAAAATACCTTGAAGTAAGACTTCTCGTCAGAAAAGCTTCCAACATATAATTAACAATTCATTGACTAAAAGTTAATTTGGGTCATAAATTTTCATATATAAAACAAAATCAAAGAGAAAGGTATTCTTACATAAAGCAGTAAGACTTACTGTTTTAAAAAATATGAGAAGGAAATATTTCAAAGGATATTGTGGAGAAAACATTTAACTATTATGTTCATTTAAAATCAGTAACATACCAAAAATTTAATTTTTACTATATTACATGTTGAAGAAGTTTAAATCCAAAAAGCCATTTAATTTTCAGAGAAATCAAATGTACCAGACACTAGCCTCTAATTTCAACAAAAGGCAAAAAAAAAATAAAAGTAAGTCAATAAATGAGTAACAGTGGTCAAACTGCTATAAAATATGAGAGTTAAAACCAGAAGGCTCTTAGAAGAAAAATTAGGAGTAAGTCTTCAAGACCTTGGATTTGGAAATAGATTCTCTTAGATATGATGGTAAAGGTACAGTCAACATATGAAAAAACTGAAAAACTGTACTTTAGACTTCCTGAAAATTTAAAATTTTTGTGCATCAAAGGATACCATCAAAAAAAGTAAAAAGAAAAGGCTGCAAATGTCACTCAGTAGTAGAGCACATGCTTAGCCTGCATGAGACCCTGGGTTCAATTTCCAGCACCAAAAACAAAACGTGAAAAGTAAATCTAAATACCTTATATAAATCTAATATGTAGCTATTAATATATGTAACATATATTAATGATACTTGCATATCATATATTAATAAGGATTTAGTTAGAAGATAGAAGGATTTTACACATACAACTCTACAACAAGAAACACCAATTTAAAAATGGGCAAAAAAAAAAAAAAACCCAAACCAAAAAAACTACTTCTTAATAACCATAATAATTGCTGACTAAAGGGGTGACTCAAGCAGTAGTGTGCCTGCTCTGCAAGCAGCAAAGCTCTGAGCTCAAAATCAGATCAGTCCAACCAAAAGAACAAAAATAAATTTAAATAAATAAAAATGGACAAAGGACTTCAATAAATAACAATTTTAGTGGCAGAAGAAGATAGACAAATGAAAATAAGCACATCAAAGATTCTCAGTTGCATTCATCATTAGGGAAAGGTAAATCATAATCAGAATAAAATTATCTTTTAACCTTACTAAAATGGTTAGAATTAAAAAGAAACTAAAGTTAAAATAAAGGAAAGCAGTTTAATTGTTCTTCAAAAGGTAAACACAGAATTGCCCCCATGATCTAGCAATTCCACTTAGATATAGAGAAGTGAAAGAGACACTCAAGCAGATACTTATATATATCAATTTGGGGACAGATAAAATTTGAACTACAATCAAAATAAATATTGTCATATAACACCATCCATACTATGTTGACCAACAAAAAAATTTTAAGATCGAATTCACTAAGAACCAAAAATTAATAGATTTTATACAGAATATATATTAATACTTTTTTTTATTCATATGTGCATACAATGTTTGGGTCATTTCTCCCCCTTGCCCCCACCCTCTCCCTTACCCACACCACCCCTTGATACCCGGCAGAAACTATTTTGCCCTTAACTCTAATTTTGTTGGAGAGAGAATATAAGCAATAATAGGAAGGAACAAGGGTTTTTGCTAGTTGAGATAAGGATAGCTATACAGGGAGTTGACTCACATTAATTTCCTGTGCGTGTGTGTTACCTTCTAGGTTAATTCTTCTTGATCTAAACTTTTCTCTAGTTCCTGGTCCCCTTCTCCTATTGGCCTCAGTTGCTTTTAAGGTATCTGCTTTAGTTTCTCTGCGTTAAGGGCAACAAATGCTAACTAATTTTTTAGGTGTCTTACCTATCCTCACATCTCCCTTGTATGCTCTTGCTTTTATCTTGTGATCAAAGTTCAATCCCCTTGTTGTGTTTGCCATTGATCTAATACTCCGCATATGAGGGAGAACATACGATTTTTGGTCTTTTGGGCCAGGCTAACCTCATTCAGAATGATGTTCTCCAATTCCATCCATTTATCAGCGAATGATAACATTTCGTTCTTCTTCATGGCTACATAAAATTCCATTGTGTATAGATACCACATTTTCTTGATCCATTCATCAGTAGTAGGGCATCTTGGCTGTTTCCATAACTTGGCTGTTGTGAATAGTGCCGCAATAAACATGGGTGTGCAGGTTCCCTTGGAGTAACCTGTGTGACAGTCTTTTGGGTATATCCCCAAGAGTGGTATTGCTGGATCAAATGGTAGATCAATGTTTAGCTTTTTCAGTAGCCTCCAAATTTTTTTCCAGAGTGGTTGTACTAGTTACATTCCCACCAACAGTGTAAGAGGGTTCCTTTTTCCCACGCATCCTCGCCAACACCTGTTGTTGGTGGTATTGCTGATGATGGCTATTCTAACAGGGGTGAGATGGAATCTTAGTGTGATTTTAATTTGCATTTCCTTTATTGCTAGAGATGGTGAGCATTTTTTCATGTGTTTTTTGGCCATTTGAATTTCTTCTTTTGAGAAAGTTCTGTTTAGTTCACTTGCCCATTTCTTTATTGGTTCATTAGTTTTGGGAGAATTTAGTTTTTTAAGTTTCCTATATATTCTGGTTATCAGTCCTTTGTCTGATGTGTAGCTGGCAAATATTTTCTCCCACTCTGTGGGTGTTCTCTTCAGTTTAGAGACCATTTCTATGTTGAGCAGAAGCTTTTTAGTTTTATGAAGTCCCTTTATCTATGCTATCTCTTAGTTGCTGTGCTGCTGGGGTTCCATTGAGAAAGTTCTTACCTATACCTACTAATTCCAGAGTATTTCCTACTCTTTTCTGTATCAGCTTCAGAGTTTGTGGTCTGATATTAAGATCCTTGATCCATTTTGAGTTAATATTGGTATAGGGTGATATACATGGATCTAGTAAGAATATATATTAATATTCTTGTAACAATTATTAAGTGCTTCAAAATTTATGACAGCTATATCAGTTACTTTTTTTTGCAGTTCTGGGGTTTAAACTCAGTGCCTCCTTCTTCCTAGGTAGGCACTCTACCACTTAAGCCAAACCCTCAGCCCTTTTGTGCTTTTGTTATTTTTCAGGTAAGGTCTCACTGTTTACCTACAGCTGGCCTCAGACCATAATCCTACCAACTATGCCTTCCACACTGCTGGGATAACAGGTGTGTATCATCATGCCAGCTTATTGACTGGGGCAGGAGTCTCACTAACTTTTTTCCTAGATAGCCTCAAACCACAATCCTCAACCTCTTGAGTAGCTGGGGCCACAGATGTAGCCATGGTACTTGGCACAGTTGAATTTAAAAAAAATATATATATATACATTCATATATATATATATATATATATATATATATATATATGAAACATATAACTTATAAGCTACCATATTTTTGGTAAATTTATAAAGGAATTTTATGCCATTCTAAGAGTTCTTAAAGGATAATAAATACCCTCAAATCTTAAGATCACATATACATAGGTCAATGATTATAGCATTTTGATATTGGCAATTAATAAGCTAAGAGAGATAAACTCATAAGTATCTTAGAAGAAACAGGTAAATTTAAAACCAGTTTTACTAATTTTGGAGGGCGGGGGTTGATATAGAGTCTCACTATGCAGCCATTCTATCCTTAAACTCACAATCCTCCTGCCTCTACTTCCTGAGTGCTGCTGGGGTTATAGAGATGCACCAACACACCTGGTAACTTTTACTTTTTTATTCTTAAATAAATGCTTAAAAACTAGCAAGGTAAGAACTTAAGGAAAAAATGACTTTAGTGAGTAGGTATTTACTAATACTAACGCTACTACATTAGAATGGGAAATAAAACATACAGGCTTTCTCACACACACACACACACATTGTACATTTTAGAAAAACTCAACTAAAAACTTGTAGACCAATGAAAGTCATTAAATTCAACTTTATTCTTTTCATAAAATACTCCCACTCAAGAAAAATTCTAAAATATTAATGTGGCAAATATTAACACCTACTTACTGACACTTACTGTGTGAAAATTTATCATTTCTTGAAGACTGTCAGAAAACTTGGTCAAACTTGTCTATAAGAGAACAAAAAAAAATGAAGTCATTTACAAGCCACTAAAAATAGGTCACAAAAATGTTACTTTAGCATTTCTGACAGGAAGATCAAGTTCTACCGCAAGCAGTAGCATTTACTTCCAAGGACAATCCTACTGGCTTTTAGGCATGCTGTGCAAAGAGACCAGTCTACCTGTGGCAGCACATAAAAACCCTAGAAAGTCAAAACATTAGTTCTGCCCCACCTATGGCATGTATAACTCCAAAGGTAAAATTGTTTAAGGTGTCAATACCATGCCCCTTTAGCATCTATGGATCAAATAATCATCACAGCACACCATTTTTTCCCCAGTTATTATTCACCATGAAAGAAATATAACACTACACAATACAGCAAGGGATCCAAGTAAGCCAGGCTACACTGGCTGACTAGAAGCTATAAAGCTACCAGTTAGGTCCCATTTATGTTTGCCGCTATAAATGGCTACAGGAGTCCTGATCCTGCTCTCCCAACTCAGGCCCTCTGGCAGATGGTTCAGATTACTTAGTAGCAAGCAAACTTAGTAAATTGGTCAAAACCCTGAGAAACTGGGTTAGAAGAGCAATGCTAGATATAACCAGTGCAACCTTAATGTCTATCTTCTACAGCAAACAGGATTATATGATATAGCACTAAGGCAAAGTAGCATTTTTACTTCTATTTTAAATATCATTATAACTATTAGTAAGGTAAATGGATGCATAAATGTCTCATTACATTTATTGCTTTACCCATAATTTTAATAATACCAACCTCAACTACAGCATCATTACTAGAATACTGTGCTAAGTCTCGAATTCCATTCATGAACTGCTTATTTGCAACACAAAAGGCTTTTCCAGTATCAATCATAGCAATACAAAGCTTCACAAGCTGAAAAAGAAAAAAAAATTACATTAGGTAGGTTGGAAATAATTTTACAAGTTATTCAGTAGAACAAGTGTTAGCAGTCACCACAAGGGCTAACCTAGTCAAAATAAATTATATTTCCTCTATAAATTCCTAACAGACTAATTGAAAAAATTTTCCCTTTGGCTTATAAAGTAAATTCATAGGAGAGTTGTTACAAAAAGTTGACCTTTTAGGACCCAGAAGTTGTCTGATAACAACAAAAAAATCATTTTATCAAGTTAAATTCAATCTCGTAAATTAAATCCATAACAATGTATTAAGTATCTCCTAGAAAAGAGGATGGAGATGTAGCTCAATGGTAGAGGAGGAGGAAGGTGCCTCTATGAGCAAGCAGTATGATGAAAAGATAAATTTTTAAAACCCTAGTTCGCTGGAGAAAAGGTAAACAAACTGCTATGGTGATTACTCAATACTTCCCATTTCGGTATCATCCCACCACAAGTACATAATTGAATTGATTAATGAACCACTACTAAAAAAAAATATTTCTCCAATGCCACTGTTCTAGTCATTGTGCTAAGCCTCAGGACTGAACACGCCTCTCTTTCTCTCCATCTCCTTCTACCTCCCTCATCTTTCTTTTCATCTCCCTTACTTCCTATCATTCCTTCTTTATTCCCTCCCTCTCTCTTTCCTTTCCTGCTTTCTTTCATTCAAACACAGAACATAGTCTTTAAACAAAATCTTGGATGAATGTCAAATACTAAAAACAAACTGAAGCCACTCTTGAAGAAGAAAAGGGTACTAAAAAAGGAGGGACTCAAAGAAGAGAACAAAGATCCACAAGATCTTTGAAAACCCTAAAGGATCTCAAGAGGATAACTTAAAACTACTGCCCTAAGGCCTACAGGAACACAAGTTAAACTTAACACTCTGCTCTCAAGGAGCTCAGATTCCAACTAGTAGACAAGCAGATAAATTCCACAGAGCACAAACACAAATGCTATGATGAGGCCATGCATGAGCAAACAAAGAAGAACACCTGATCCAGACTATGAAGATTACAGAGGATTCCTAGAAAAAGTAGCATAGGATATTGTTAAACTTTTAAGAGTTTTATTTTTTATTTACCTTTTATTTTTTCCATTGCTGGGGATGAAACCCCAGGCTTCACACATGCCAGGCAACTGTTCTGCCACTGAGCTACATCACAACCAAGAGTTTTTGATATATTAATGTACATTCAATAGAGGAGATATAATATGCAGCATTTCCCAAAAATATTGGACCATAGAATTCTCTTTAGAGGAAGCATTCCCAAGACCAGTGTTCCACAAAAACCACTATGAAAAATGGTAGCAGAGATAAGTCTTTAAAATGGTTTGCTATTTACATAATACCAGAAAAACTAATTCTAAAGTTCACATACAGTAAACAACATACAAGAAGAGAAAAATTAATAAAGTGAGAAAATTATCCTTTAAAAAGTACAGCAATTGAAGTTTGGTGATGAATGTAAACAAACTGATCAATGAAATACAGTACAGACTCAAGAACAAATATAAATATGAAGTATTTGATTAAAGTAATGTTCCAGAAAGTATCTAATAAATGACATTTAGGGACATCAATTAGCCATCAGAATGCGAAAGTAAAACGAAAGAAGTTTGATTTCAAATTCCCAAATTAAATTTACATGGAATAAAAATTCAAACATTTTAAAAAATTGGAAAATTAAGAGAAAACAGGAAGTACTTTTTTATACAATTTCAAAGTGTAAAAAGCATTTCTGAAAAGGATGCAAAGTTCAAAAGGCATGGGATAAAGAAAATGATTAGTTTAACTAGATAAAAATATTTCTCTAAGAAAAAAAAAGAATTTAGTCAAAAGACAAATTCTCCAATATGGAAAAATAATATGAGGGACAAATCGTAAAGGAGTAATTTCCCTACCATGAGAAAGACCACACACATCATTTTGAAAACCCAACCATCTGTTAGGAAAAAATGGATGACATACCAAATAATTTCCAAAAGAAAAAAAGATACACAAATTTAGCTGGGTGCCGGTGGCTCACGCCTATAATACTAAATACTTGGGAGGGTGAAATCAGAAGGATTGTGGTTTGAGGCCAGCTGAGGCAAATAGTTCATGAGACCCCATCTCCAAAATAACCAGAGCAAAATGAACTGGAGATATGGCTCAAGCAGTAGAGCACCTGCCTTGCAGGCAAGAATCCCTAAGTTCAAACCCCAGTCTGACCAAAAAAAAAAAAAGATATACAAATGTGTCCTAAATGCATGAAAAAATTATTTGACTTCATTCATAATAAAATAAATAAAATATATGTACGTAAATGGAAAAACGATGCCTACTGAAACTATTCCAGGAATGGTGGGAGGAGGGATAAAGGAGAGTAGTGGAGGAAGTGAATTCAAGAATGATATACTTGATATAGTGTAAGAACTTTTGTAAATGCCACAATGCACCCCTATCCAGCACAACAATAAAAAAAAAAAGATATAAAAATTACCATTTTTTTTACAAAACAGCTAAGATCAAAAAGTTCAATAACATGTTCTTTTGGAGAGGGTAGATATGGAAAAACAGGTACTCTCAGATATCACTGTTGGGAATATAAATTGATAACATATCTATGGAAGGCAATTTAGCAAGAGTTATCCAAATTTAAAACACACATACCCTTTAACAAAGCAATTTTACTGTTAAAAATATAACATACAGACAAATTTGCACATAAACAACATGATGTATCTGAAATTATTCATTGTAGTTACTGGAAAATATTGATTATGATCTTAAGTGTTCATCAGTAGACAACTGGATAAACTGCTATCGCCATACAGTAAAATTCAGTCATAAAACATGGAACAGGGATGGGGGTATAACTCAGCAGTAAAGGGGGTGCTTAACATGTGCCAGCACCAAAAAAAAAGGGAAGATAGGACAGCTATACAATTAATAACAAATAATAACATCCAACATAAATTAAGAAAAATCAAAATGTAAAGCAATACTAATATTTTTGTTAGAATTGGAAAAACATTTGTGATGACAGTGAGATACACACCTCCTTTCACATTCTCAGAACATTTCTGTAAGGACATACAAGAAAGTAGGCCAATGCATTCCCCTAGCAAAGAGATTAGAAGATGAATAATTTTCAGTGGGTACACTTTCACCTTTGAATTTTATTCAACAAATTAAATAATTTAAAAATAATTAAAAGTTTCCAGAGAGCAAGAGAGAAAAATACACAGAGAGACAAAGAGATTAATAGTATAGCATGGCTAAAGCAGTCTGCTTAGGTTCAAATACGATGGCTATTTAAGTGGGCCTGGGTGACCTTAACCTCAACAAACTTCAGTTTATCTCCTATGTGATACGTTACAGTGGCACCAAATCATATTAGGTCTCTGTAAAGGGGTAAGATAGCTCACATAGAGATCATGACACCAACTGTTACAGCTACATGATACTCAGCAGAGATTTTTACACCTTGTCAGAGGGGAAATTTTCTTATTGTTATTCGCTTTTGTTTGATTTACTAAGAAACAAACTTGAGCATCTTTATCTATTTCAGATAAAGAAGTGATGGAGAAAGGAAAGGTGACCAAAGCAAAATGCTGAGGAAGGAGAAGGCTTACATAGGAAAAGAGATACTTTTATTGCTTGAATGGAAGGAAAAAGATAAGAACAGATTCTAAATTTCTAAGTTAGGAACAAGAACTAAAGAACATTCCCACCAAGCAGAAAGGTCATCCTGCCCCAGGCAAAAAGTGAGATCCTACCTGAAAAATAAACTAAAGAAAGAAAAAAAGGGCTGGAGCATGGCTCAAGCGGAATAGTAACTTCCTAACTAATACCAGGCCCTGAATTCAAACCCCAGTATCCCAAAAAAACAAAGCGTATAATTCAGCCATAAAAAGAAAATACAAATGCATGCTATAACACTAATGAACTTTAAAAACATTATTTTTCCAGGCCTGTGACACATGCCTATAGTCCTAGCACTTGGGAGGCTAAGGCAGGATCATAAGTTCAAGGCCAACCTGGGGGCTACACAGTGAGATCCTGGCTCAAAAAAAAAAAAAAGACACTAAGTGAAAGCAGCCTATCATTCCATTTACATGAAATGTCTAGAACAGGCAAATTCACACAGAAAATATATTTTGCTGCCAGAGGATGGAAGGAGGGGAGAATTAGGAGTGACTGCTAACAGGTTACAAGGCTTCTCTTGGGGGGTCACAGAAATGTTTTAGAATTAGACAATGATGATGAGTGCACAGCATCATAACTATACTTTAAAAAAACACTTTAAAGTTGTAGCTTTTATGATACGAGATTTAATCTCAATAAACCCCCTTCCAAATAAAAGTATACTGAAGTGAATTTTAAAATGATCTAAAATATCACAAGTAAATAGGCTGAAAAACCAGAGTCTAGGTAAGCTTGAAGAACAGAAGCAGCATTGAAGGCTGAAAACTAGCAGGACTAGAGACACAACTGAAAAAGCAGGATATCAGCATTCCAGATTTCAGAGATTACAACTCTGAGTGATGAGGCATAGAATACTGGCCCAAGAAAATAGATGACAGAATTAGCATAGAAGTCACATCACAGGAATCAGAGAAAAATTGTGATGAGCGAAGCACATACGTTGTAGCTCTCCAGGAGGAAGGACTGACTTGGCAATACAGACACAAACAGAAACAGACAGCTGGGTGTAGTGACACACATCTGTAAATGCTAGCACTTGGGAGGCCAAGACAAAAAGTTTAGAGAGTTCAAGGCCACCATGGGCTATTTATCAAGACCCTGTCTCAGAGACAAAGAAAGAGACAACATTAGATGACAGTGATGAACAAGATTATAACTGAGTTTTAAAAACACATAAAGAGAGATTTTTACCTAAGATTAATTGTCAACTTAGCCAAATTTATCAAATTATTAGCCCTAATTCATTCATTCAACATTTTTAATAAGGATTACTATGTCACAGGCATTAGCCATGTGACTGGAATACAAACAACTTATTTGAGTAAGTAACATCCTCTCTAATTCTCATTTTTTCATGTGCAAATTGGAAACAATACCAGCACTGCAAAAAGAGGTAACAGAAATAGCTTTGGGTGGGTGGGTGGGTGGGTGGGTGTGTGTGTGTGTGTGTGTGTGTATTTCTTTTAAAGACAGTCTCTGTCTTTTAGGAGCTAACAGTCTGTTGAAGAGACATCATCACTAATGTTTATTTAGAATTCACCATGTGCCAAGAATCATGCTAAGAACTTCACATCTATCAGCTCACCTTTTTCTTCTAATAATCCTGAGATACATAGACACTCTTATTTCTCCCTTTTGAAGATGAAGAAACTGGGGCACAGAAAATTTGAGTAGTTTGCCCAAAGTCATATAGCTAGTAATTGGTAGAGCCACATTCAAACCCAGGCAGCTCCTCATTTTGTGCTCTTAAACTACTAGGCTATGCCACAAACCAAAAATTACAATAGTATTATAATAGTTTAAGGTTGAAGCACATTCAAGAAACAATGCAATGCAAGGAAAAGAGCCCAAGTTTGGTAGCAATTGAGCTGAGATTTAAAGGCTGTCTGCTTAACAAACAGAAAAAGCATACAGTGAAAAGATGCAACCAATACAGAAATTACATCTAGATGGTAATTGTGACACACTCTGATGTTATCAATGCCTCAAAATCTTGCAGAACAAGATAAATAATTGTACACTATGAGCAATGCCACTCATGAAGCATTGTTGACTAGAAAGAATGTAACTAATGGCAGCATACATTAAAAGCAAAATAAAAAGGAGCTAAATCATCAAGCTAGTTTAACCTGTCACTGGTATGATGCACAAGGATACCATAGGTGGAGCCTGCCCTGAACAAAGTTAAGAAATCATTAAACTAGTCTTGGGGCAACTCTTCTCACCCACCCCCACCACCACATTCCTTCAATGCCAGCACTTTCGATGACAACCATTTCTTATGTTCCTCACAGTCTCTTCTCTATGACAATTTCCCACCATTCTAAAGTAAAATTTATAAATAATAGCTTAGGAGAGAAGTACACTAGATAAGGTATCAATATCTTCAACCAGAGAAACATAAATTAACTATGGAACTCTGGGGAAGTGGAGAAAGAAATTGATTTTTAAATGCTGTCAAATTTCCACTTGAAAACTCTAGAACATGCATAGACTTCTTAGTACTGAATTTTAATAATTTGTTTTATATTTTATATTTTTGCCTTTAAGAGCTACTGAATCAGAATCCGTACTTTCTACCAGATAAGATCCCCAAATGATTCCTATGTACAGTAAGGACTGAGAAGCACTGCTTTTTATAGCAATAATTATATAAATAGGAAATTATTTTCAGAGAAGGTATTTCAAATATATACATATGACTTATTTCTGAACAATTGTTTTCACTGAACAATAGTTAAAGAAGAATGGCTGAACAAATGGATCAGAAGTCATATCTTACTTGTTCTAATATTTCTGCTTAGAACAATACAGACTTCCCAGATAGACATCCAAAAAATATTATCAATAATTAATATAGGAGGTGGGAATCAATGTTCATTTACCCTTACATAAAATATGACTGCATTGCTTATAAAGTGTTTTAACCATTTCTGACATTGGCTTAAAAATGGAATTAAGCTTAAAATTTTATTTATATTTAAACCTGGCCACATCTAAATTTATAAGCAAGGATGGTAAGATTATGTATAATCCATTATGCATCAAAAAGGAAAAATGCAATATTTGGATGGAAAAGACAGGACAAAACTTTTAACAATGTAAAGGATGCTGAGTGATCTTCAAAATCAGACATGGATACAAATTCTTATTTTGGCACTTAGATTGGACTTTGAACACACAAGCTACTGTCTCTACCTTTAAATTTCCTCATTGTAAAATTGGGAAAAAAACACTTACCCTCATAGAGATATACAGTAAATGAACCAACTACTAGTGTCAGTCCAATTATTTATGGAAAATAAGATTTTTAAGTTAAAAATGCCAAACTTACCTTATCAAGTTTTAGTTCCAATTCTGCCACATCTCCTTCTACTTCTTCCAAAGCAGCCCTAGAAAAATTTTAAAAAATAAGTTGTTTCATTTGGTTAAATGTATACTCTTGAAAAACAATTCTTCACTTTAAAGTGAAGATAGATATGAATGGTTAAAAATTATACTTCATTATCATATAATGTGTCAGACAATAAAATATTGTTTAGGACAATGAAAGAATACATTAGGCTAAAATACCCAAAGCATTATTATTATTCAAGTTAACAGTAATTAGAACTATTCTGTATGTTATTTTTAAATGATTAAGAGTTTATAAACAGATGCTAGAAAATGTACAAAGGATACTAATCAATAAAATTACCCAAAATCCTACCTTCAAAAAAAAAAAAAAAACCAAAAGAAGTTTTAGAAGTTGAAAGGCAAGTGCAGTGGCTCATGTTTATAATTTCAGCTACTCAAGAAGTGGAAATAGGAAGGATCACATTTCAAGGCCAGTCAGGACAAAAAGTTCAAGAGACCCTATTTCAACAAAATAAGCTGGGCATAAGCATGGAAACACATGCCTGTTACCCTAGCTAGGGAGAGGCCCTTGGTAGGAAGAGCCATAAAGAGGATCAAACTTTGTTTTTGTTTGACTTCCCAAACAAAAAGTGAGACCTTATTTGAAAAATAATCTAATGCAAAAAGGGCTGGAGGCCTGGCTCAAGTGGTAGAGCACCTGCCTAGCAAGCTCAAGGCCCTGAGTTTAAATCCAGTCGAGCCTTTCAAAGAATCAGATTTCTAGACAACAAAGCACATGCAACCAAACAGCAAAACAAAACTGACAACCAAAAGGGGCTTACACTGTTAGAGATAAGAAAGATATTACTTTTCTCCTGTCAAAATAATTTTAATACAGAAAAACTAGTAAAAGTTAGGTTGTATAAAAAGCAGAAAGTAAACAGTAAGCCAGATACTCTTACTAACAAAAAGGAATAACAATTATAATACTAGTTAGCACCTGATATCACTTCAAGGCAGTACTACCCAACTGGAAATTTGTCTGGAACAAAATAGCAGCAATCAAAACTTTTTAAGGATAAGATTTTACATTAAAAGTAATATATTATAAAATATAATTTACACTTTATGTGTACCTTTTTTCGTAAGTGCTGGCAATTGAACCCAGGACTTCATGCAAGCCAGGTGAATGCTGTACCACTGAGTAATATCCTCAGCCCTACGACACTTTCATATGCCTACTTGATAAACCAGCACTTTTCTAATAGCTGTTTTAAGATGTAACCAAAAACTGCTTTAATTGGATAGTAGTGGGAGACTAGCTGCCCAAAAAGCTATACTAAATGCTGCATAAGACATTCTCAAGCAATGGAGTTAAGCAAAAGACTGCTAAGATATAAATATTACTTCCAAGGCTACCCACTTTACCTCTGTATGACCTTTGAATAATCACTTTATCAGCTTGTGATTCTACTTCTCTATCTGGTAACACTTATTTTTTGAAGCTTTTAAATCTTCAAAATAAAATACTATAAATTATTCAGTACAGAGATGCCTTTATAAAATGAAATACTCTAGCATAAGGTTCAAGAAAATGGGAAGTAGTATAACTCCACAGCATAGAAGCAGAAATACTTCCCTGACCAACAGTTGGCCATTATCTTCAACAGTGTTTTATAACTACACATTGTTCCTTAGCCTAGAAAACATTTCTCCTTCACTTTAATCCTCATTCCCTTTACCTGCACATCATTTAAACTTACTTCACACATGAAAACCAACATATCTCTACAAGGGTATTCACTGTAACAGGCTGGAAATCTGAATGTCCAACAATTAGAAGCAATGTAAACAAATGATAGTATATTCGTCCCATTATGTGAGGAAGCAAGGTTTTAAATAAGATTGAAGTACATGCCTATTAGACTAGCACTTGGGAGGCTGAGGCAGGAAGATTGTTGAGCCAAGGAGTTCTATACTGATGTGAAATTATGGACATGACAGATTATATTACATTATTACATTACAAAATTACATACAGTTATAGTGTGAGTCCAACCTATAGAGTGGATGAGAAAAACTATTAAAAACACACATTGGAAAATATCTAGGAACATATTTACCAATCTACTAACTATAACTGAAGAATGGGAATTGGAGAATAGAAAGTATAAATAAGAATTTGCATTTTTTACTACTATGCTTCTGGACAGTTTTTTGTTGTTGTTTGTTTTTTGTGACTGGGGTTTGAACTCAGGGTCTACACCTTGAGCCACTCCACCAGCCCTTTTTTGTGATGGGTTTTTTCAAGATAGGGTCTCAAAAACTATTTGCCCAGGCTGGCTTCAAACCGTAACCCTCCTGATCTCTGCCTCCCAAGTAGCTAGGATTATAGGCATGAGACACTGGCGCTCAGATGTTTCACAACTATTTTCAACAACTATACATTTTAAGTAATTTTTTAAAGTTAATGAAGAACGGAAATAAATTAATTTGGCCATCAGCTCCCCAAGAAGTGGCTACCCTTGAAATAGCTCCCTTACCCCCTGAGTTCGGATGACAAACCACCCGGTACCACTGTTCCCTCTCATCGGTCTGAGTTTTCCCCCACAGTACTGCAGACACTCAAATGTCTGGAGTCAAGGAAGAAATTCAACAAGTACTTACTCTAATTTTCAGATACTGTTTACATTTTAAGCTTTATCCTGACTCAATCTTCAAACGAATTAGTAAAAATGAATAGTTTAAGATTTGATTTAATTATTGGTTTGGGGCTGAAGGTATGGCTCAAATGGAAGAATGCCTACCTAGCAAGCATGAGGCCCTAAGTTCAAACCCAGTACTAGAAAAAAAAAAAAAAAAAGCTTTTAAGCATTGGTTTCTACTAAACATATTAGTTCGATAGAAACTTCATGTGTCCTTCAACTTTATTCCATTGTGCAGGTCCACAAATTTACTTTTGTGAAATAGCACATTAAGGAAAGGTGTGAATACATGTATAAGAGAAAATGTTCTGCTTTTATACTTCACTTAAAAACACATTCCTCTGGCCAGGCACAGGTGGCTCACACCAGTAATCATAGCTACTCAGGAGGCAGAGATCAGGAAGATCACAGATCAAAGACAGCCCCAGCCAGATAGTTCGTGATACCTTATCTTGAAAAACAAAAAAATCACAAAAAAAAAAGGCTGGCAGAGTGGCTCAAGTGGTAAGAGTGCCTACTTATGAAGAGAGAGGCCCTAAGTTCAACCCCAGTGTCAGTGGGGGGAAAAAATTCCACCATAATCATGTATTCAAGGAACCTAAAACTTTATCTTTAAGGTCCTTCAATTCAACAATCCACCTTCTCTTTAAAAATAAAAATCTCAGGGGGTAGCACAGTGGCTCAAGTGCTAGAGTATGAGCCTAGCAAGCGTGAGGCCCTGAGTTTAAACCCCAGTACCGCAAAAAAAAGAAAAAAGTCTATAAAAATAAAAATCTCTGTTACTGATCATCTATGCTGTATATCAAAACTTGTACCAACAGGATAGTAGTTAAGTGTGTAAGGCAGACTGGTTCATTAGTGAATTTTTTTAGTAGAAAAAAACAGAATATGGAAAAAGCAAGGTTTTATACAAATTCTGCTCCACCACTCCCTTATACAGGCCTAGGCTATCTTACTGAAGACTTTTCATCTGTAAAATGAGTAGAGGGATGATCGTTTAAAAGAAATGTATGTAAAAGCTGGTGCCCTGTAGACCCAGCTGCTGAGACTGAAGCAGAAAGATGGCTACAGTCCAGAGGTTCATGACTAGCCTGTGCAATATAGTAAGATCTTGTCTCAAAAAGATAAAAAAGAAGAAACAAGCCATAAAGAAAGAATTGAGGAACTGTCCATATCATCAACCACAGTTAAGTTACACAAAATACTAGCAGCTTTTTTCTCTCCTTTATCCTACCCTGCACTCTGACAGGAGTTTTGACTCTCTATTGAGAAATGTGATAGGACCATTCTAGAACATAAGTTTAATAAATAAATTAATAAATGAAATAATCTACACAACAGATCTCCAAATGTTGGATGCCAGATATTACTCCCCTGCAACTCTCCTAAATATCACTGGGCATATAACTTTTATAACTTTATAAAAGTTATAAAGGGCATTAAAGGCTTAATGAAGCCAAAATTATAGATCACTACCTTCTATAGATTAAAATTTAATATTTAAAAATATCAGGCTTGGGATAAAGGTCAGAGGTAGAGTGCCTGCCTAGGGTGCACAGGCCCTGGATTTATCCCCAGCACTACAAAACACTAAATAAAGAAAAATCAAGTTAAACACACACAAATAATGAAATAAAATATATGCTTATGCATCGAAGTAAGCAAAACAGACTATAGCTGTTAAAAGAAAAAGGAAAGGAATTGGTGAAATAACATGGAACAGAAAACTACAACCCAACAGGCAAATCTAGTCCATAGCTTGCTTTCATCATTTTACTTTTTGTACACCCTTCATTCTTTTATATATTTATATACCACAAATTTTTATGATCAACTCAGAAAATAGTTAACTCAAAATATAAAAATAGAAGATGAAAACAACCAAGCAGCAAATATTAACATTAAGGCATTTCTAATCACATAGTGATCACTTTGGGCTGTGAATTAAATGAAGCTCTGTAAGAAGCATTGAAATAGAATTCTCCCCACTCAGATAATTATACATTCCTGGCATAGCAATAAACTTTTTAAACTACAGTTTTTAAAAGGGTATCTATAAACTAAATAATATATGTAATATGAGCATTACATTTTCTTTACAAAAGGAAAATTATTTGAAGCTGTATATAATCCAGCACTCAGGAAATAGGCAGGAAGATTGTTAGCCAATGCTGTATATCAAAACTCGGTCTCAAAAAAAAAAAAAAAACCTTTAAAATGGAATTAATAATTTAAAACTAGTTCACATGGTGATGCAATCTAAAATGCAACAGGATATTCAAGATCATTAATAAGCACATACATATCCTCATTACAATTTGCAATTAAACATGCTCCTGAGGCTCTAAGCC